AAATTAACGAACTGACGCATTTAATATCATAGCGACCGTTCTAAAACTATCCCGAGAAGAAATTGAGAGGAAATGGAAAGTTCTGCAAACCCAGTTTAGGCGGGAATGTGCAAAAATTGTCACAAAATCTAGCCAGGGAAGAAATGAATTATACGTGTCTCGTTGGTTTGGATATAAGCATTTAATGTTTTTAAAAGACAAGTATACACCAAAACATACAAGAGATAGTCAAGAACATGTAAGTAAACTTTTTTATTTCTTTATAATGACACGTATTATTTTATTTCATTCTGTCTTGCCAAGGCAGTCTTCCATGACCTGAAAAATAATGTGCAAATTGTTCTCTAACCTCCTGAGCTACTCTGGTGGATTTTCTCCCAATTCTATTTAAATGCTTGAATGTACATGAAGGTTCTGGTTGGTCTCGCCAAGATCCATGAACCAAAATGCCCGTTGAAATATCTTCATTGTCATACGTTCCAGGAAGAGCATAACCGTCCATGATTGTTTTAGTATTTTGTAAAAAATTATGTAAGTAGCAACATGTAAGAACAATTATTTCAGCAGTACTAGGTTGCAAAAGCAAAGGCTTTCGCAAAACTCGAAATACCGACGACATAACGCCGAAAGCGTTTTCCACGACTCGTCTTGCTCGCGATAATCTGTAATCAAATGAGCGTTGGAACGTCCCCTTCGCATGTTCGCCGGGAAATGGTTTTATTAGGTTCTCCTGTAGAGGAAACGCAGTGTCGCAAATGAAAACAAAAGGTGTTGTTCTGTTCTGTTATCCCGGCAAGAGTTTGTCAGGTGGTACATTTAAAGTTCCATCATTCAGTTTCCTTGCGAAAAGGGTATTTTTAAAAACTCCACCATCTGATATTCGTCGTTAATAACCCACGGTTACGTATAAAAATCGATACTTTGCATCTACTACTGCCATAAGGACAATACTGAAAGTGCCCTTATGATTATAATACTCTCTTCCACTTCTAAAGGGACATTGTAATACGACGTGTTTACCGTCAATGGCTCCTAAGCATTGAGGAAAACTCCATAAGTTTTCATTACCTCCCAACATCTGAATCTGTACTCTGCATATTTTTAGTATACTCATACTATAGGCTTGTATACTTTGTTTCAGGACTTGGAAAACACACAATACGAGGATTCATCAGAAACCATCCTTACTGAAGGTTCCTCAAGCACTCTTCAATTACAGCAAGCAGAAACATCTCATGACACAGTGAATCAGTTGGGAACAATAACAAAGAAAAGTTCTGGAAAGCAGTTAAACCCTTCGGATCCTCATGATATTGGAATAGAGTCAGAACCGTTCCAACGAGACACCGTAAGGCAGTTAGTCTCAGCAGGAAAAAAACCTCGGGAATACGCCCAAATATGTCTGATCCTCAAATGAATGAAGCTTTTAAATCAATGAAAACACTTACAGAAAATCAAAAAGTAAGGGATAACTTTGACGTATTTGGGGAATACGTGCAAATAAATTAAGAAGGTACGATGCATTTCTTCAAGCTGGTGTAGAACATAAAATTAATTGCGTTCTCCATTATGCTGATATGCGAATACTTTATCATTCACAAGGGCAGTTTACTCCAATTAAAACGAATTTGTCACTACGAACTGTATATCACCTGTTTCAAGTTCGCGCTCTTACGCATCAGCTCCATCTCCTTAAGGTGCGTACATACTAGAGCATTCGGCCCGAAGGAGCATGCCGAGGCAGAACAAATGTTCGTGCGGACAACTTTGAACGACGCACAGAACAGGTGCGGAAGAGAGCACCCGCGCCGCATGAGGCAGCATTTGCTCCATTTGTAACCGCTCACAGTGTGCTTAGTCTGTTTGCTCTTGGAGAGAAAATGGATCCATTGGGAATAGCTAGTGCTTCGTTTACTATTTTACACAGTATACTAACGAAGAAACGACGTAAACGTCGACGATGGTCATCGCAACTGTTTTTGAACAGAAGTCGTCATAGTACCCTAAACAATAAGTTATTGCTGGACGATTTATCAGGTGAAAGAAAAAAATTTTCAGAACTTTACAAGAATAGCAGAAAATGACTTTAGATTTATTTTGGACAAGATTAAAAGCAAAATTGAAAAACAGGATACACACTTGAGGCGGTGTATTAGTGCAGAAGAGCGATTGGCACTGACTTTACGTTTCTTTATCTCAGAAATAGTGCCCAAAGTTTGTCAGGCTATAGTTAATTGTTTCAGAAAACACATAAAGATAAGTAAAACCAAAAGTTAATCAGTGACAAAATGTATTCACGTAAAGCACCGCATTGTAACTAAACTTCAAAAGAATTATATCTGACCCTTGGGAATAATCGAAATGTTTCAAATTCTTTTTTGAAACACTCAACATTGACTTATGAAAGCAGTCTTTGGTCACCATCAATCTCAGCATTGTAACTGCTGAAGTAAACAGGTAAATCAGGTTGAGGCGTGGAATGAGGGGTGGATGATCGGGATATGGATGTTTGCGAATTAGAAGTGACCGGTGAAAGTTGGGAGCTTGAAGAAAACGTATTTACGGGAGAAATAGTCCTGCCTATAAAAGATGAATAAGGTGTGGAATGAGGTTGCGTGAATATTTGTGAATTTTATTGTAATGACGTTAGTTGAGCTACTGGCTGTGTCATAACCCGATGTTGAGTAGTTTGTACTGGTTGCTGAGGGAATACGACAGTAGGTTGCGGAGGAAATATTGTTGGTTGATCATATTGATTCTGATCTAACTGAAATAATATATTATTTATTTTGTGTCGAGCAATTGAACGTAACCGAGCGTCGAAGTTGCGAATTGCATTTCCAACGTGGGTACCAAAGACTGCACAATCATCTGACACGGGAGTGGAAGCAGATGTAGACGCCACTTTTTTTAAATACCCATATGCCTCAGAAACCATTGGATTTTCGGCAACTTTCCTGCGTTTAATGACACATTTTTTGGGAGACTTAAATGCTTTCTTTGGGGTATTTTGGTGTGTGGTTCCAGTATCAATTACTGGTGTGAATTCAATCTCGCTGATATTTTCTGACTGTGTGTTGTCAAGATCGTCACTGATACTTTCTTCTTCCTCAATCTCGTTTCCCTCAGAAGCTGTTGCTAAACTCTGAAAAACAAAAAAAAATGATGGAAGCGACAGAAAAATGCTCAAGAAATACAATACACACAAACAATATACCTAACAAGTTTCTTAATTTTTTTTCTTTTGTTGTGGTTTCCATCGTCACCAGCAGAATGGGAAGAAATCGCTCAACAGTTCGAGGACAAATGGAATTTCCCAAATTGTTTGGGCGCCATTGATGGCAAGCACGTAGTACTACAAGCCCCTAAAAAGAGCGGCGGCGTTTTTTTTAATTATAAATCACAGTTCAGTATCGTGCTACTGGCCATTGTAGATGCCGATTACAATTTTATCTATGTTGATATTGGCTGTCAGGGACGTGTCTCTGATGGAGGAGTATTTCAAAATTGTGAACTATATACATTGAACTGACATAAGAATCCCCAGTGGCTAAAAACCTTAAAAGTTATCATTAATCTTGTTTTCACGCATATGGCTTCCCGAAAGTTTGTATTTTTTTTGCAATTTTAGGTCCAATCATAACGATGAGACTTTCAAATGCGGTTGCATTAACTCGAGTGAAGTTTTTGAACAGCATCTGGAAGCGAATATACTTCTTTGCCACCACCGACGCTTTCTGCAGTTACGCGATTTTTTAATTTTTATTAATGAAAACATGCACCATGCGAGTAAAGCATCGTCTTCGTTGCACATTTTGGCTCGACTGAACGAACTTTTTAGGAACAAGGTTCGCTGAAGTTTTCCAACAATCATCGACATTTGTTTGTCAACAGTTGATCAATTCTTGCTCAACAATTGATCAACTGTTGCTCAACAATGTTTGCTTAGTCTGTTCCCGCCTTTACATTTTCTTTGAATGCCATTTTTTTACTTCATTTATTTCGAAAATCTTCAACGTTGAAATTAAAGTGAACCATTTTTTATACAAATCTTCTTACTTCATCTTATTATAAAATAGTTATTTTCAAAATTTTAGAAATGCATTTACAAGTAGTAATAGTTGAAACGGAATATCCCGTTTTAGTAGTAGGCCATGAAGTTTTTTTAAATGAAATATATTTTTGCGTTCTTCAATTCAAATGATTTTATTGTTTTTCTGGGGGCTCACATTTGTATGGTTTCTTGTCTAATTATTTTATTCATGAATGGTAAGATAAGGCGGTAACATCCCTCCTTACGAAGACGTCAGCTACGGGTATAGGATCGATAGAAAAGATAAACAAATCCCCCAGATGACTGCCGCAGTTGCAGTTGAAACGTTTGGAGATTGTAACCAAAGAAGACCACGGCAAAACATGAAAACCATTCAAAACATTGCCGCCAGCCGTGAAAGCCTACATTCATATATCGATCTACGAATGTTTGAATCAAACGAGACTCCCAAAGACGGTTCGTTGCGAAGCGAAGAAAAATTATTTCTCTTCCTCTGCAGCTTTCACTGCAACTAGTTGAAACCAGAGCTACGTTTATCTTTGATATTCGTGGATTGAGTCTTTTGTCGATTCCGCAGATGGCGATTTTATAAGAAGAGATATCATTAGCTTTACTTTCCCAGGCTTGTTATTCAAAGACATTTGGGTCCAGCAATGCCTTTGTGATTCATTCTAACATCACTGATGAGATCTATATGGCGGTTCGAAACAGAGCTATTTGTTTTTGGAACAAGAATGCTTCATTTTTGGGCTCTAGTTCCAAATATCATTAAATTTTTTTCTAAAATGGGCAACTTCCCAATTCACCCGACTTTCGAAAGTTGTAATTTGTTACATAAGTTAAAATTGTGAATTTATTCACAGAAGTCCTCCTCTCTCTTTCAATTTATGAATTATTTATTAACAATGGTTTCTGAAAGAGATATCTATACATCCAAATAATACCATAATCAAAAGACAATGTATATTCTAATTTAAAAATACGAGAATCGTTTAAAGAACCAGTATTATCGAATATTTGACATTATCGAAAACACATGTTTCATCATGATGGCAGGTCTTTTCTTTGGAAGGTTCTGATTTAGTTATATATTAATCCAGAAGTGGAACATTTTTTGTCTAATCGAAATTTTAAAAAATCCTCAATAATCCCATTCCTTTCAGGTCACCCATTTTTTGAAAATTTAATCCTGAGTATGCCCATGTTTACAACTGAAGAAATTCTCAGTTACTTTTTGTGATTCTTCAAATTTTTTCGTCAATTATTTTTTGACTTATCTTGCAGCAGCGAAAGATTTTCAACGTTTTCAAAGAACAAAATTGAAAATATTTTGACCTTAGTCCAACCATGCCTCATTTCAAGCTACATTATTATTTACTTTTATATAATTATATCAAATTATTCACAGATTCTTCTTTAATTGTTATTTAAAACGAACTTATAGTTGCTGGGAATTTGGTTTTGTCAAATGGAGAGTTAATTCTTATCGATCCAAGTCGTTGTACTGGAACTCCACTCAGTTTTCTATCGTTTTGTTTCCGTAGCAAAAGCTTGTAGTGGGGAATATCTCCAAAAAATAGCTCTCTGCTGTATAAGTAGGCCACTTTTCGTTTCGCTTGCTGTCCTGTTAGTAGAAATGGATCGGGATAAGCTGAAAATAAAATGTTCATGAGGCCAAGAAGTACCATCCACTTTATTATTGTTATCTAACAACTGACAATAGAATGTTTGAAATCGTTATCATTAAGGAAATCGTTTAATATCGAAAAAATTCATGAAGAGATTGCTTGTGATGCACTGTTTGGAACCTTTGGTGTTGTAATGAATATTACTGGAATTTTTCCTAACACCAAACCGTTATTTTAACGTCGCGACACGTGTTTCAATCACCAAGTGATCATCTACATGAGGAAGATCAAACTTGTGAAGTGAAGTTGACTGAGATAGCTGAGGCTCTAAAGGAACGTATCATGCATAAATATTTGGGTATGCGAAAGCTCTGTTCAAAGTGAGCGAGCTCACAATCGACCAAAAACAACACGAATTGATGACTCTGAGAGTGCTTGAAGCTGTTCTATTACAAAAAACCCGAATTTTTGCATCGATATATGACAATGGATGAAACATGGCTCCATCTTTTCACATCAGAGTCAAAAAGATCGTCATCTGAGTGGTCTGCACGTGGTGAACCGACTCCAAAGCGTGCAAAGACGCAAATATTTATTTATTTATCGACTACTTTGAAAAGGGAAAACCATCAAAGGCGACTATTACATAGCGTTATTGAAGCGTTTGATGGACGAAATCGCGGAAAAACGACCCCATTGGAAAAAAAGTGTTTTTTCATCAAGACAATGCATCGTGTCATAAATTAATGAAAACAATGGAAAAATTACAATGATTGGGCTTCAAATTTCTTTCGCATCCACCGTATTCTCCTGTTCTCAGGCCTCAAGAGAATGCTCGATGGGAAGAAATTTAATTCAGCGCTGATGAAGAGGTTCGAAAGTGAGGCCTATTTTGAGACTAAAGACAAATCGTACTCGAAGGCACGATATTGAATAATAAAATAGAATTTTACACAATTTCAACCTCATTGAATTTCAGCCAGGCATAAATCTTTCTTGAAATGCAAGTTTTCAATTTAATCTATTTTGAAAAATCGCCAAGAGAAGGCACGCATAAATTGGCTCAACTACCAATATCTAGATCTGGGTATATTCCAAGGCTCTATTTTACTCCTCACAGCTGGATTTATAATGAACTCCTCAGTTTTTGTCTCTAACTCAGTTAACCTGAGAAATGCAAAGATCAGGTGCGTTGATCGGCCGTGGTCTTCAATGTTGTTGAAAACTCGGCTCACTCTTGGTCTCGTGGTTCTACTTATTTGATGTGCTATTTGCTGAACGAGTTCCAACTCACTGATAAAGTTGTGTTCCTCTCATTTAGTGTTGAAAAATGAACCAAGTTCATCGACTTCTTGGGCAGCTGGCCCAAAAATAAATGCATTGCTTATCTTTCATGGTTCGAGGATCACACAAAGAAGTTCAAAGGGCAAGCAACTTTATTCTCACCAGATACTTTCGACGACCAGATCTGTTGGAGTTTCTGGTGATACCACAGAAAAAGTTTTTCATTGAGGTTAGCTTTTGTCAGTTAAACGTCGCTCTAGAAAGATATTAATAAATTGATCATGAAACATAAGTAAAAGTATAAGTGAAAAAAGAATTATCAAAGAGTGTTATTAACATTATGTTTCAACAATTACTCACCTAAACCATTGCTGAAATCCGGGGTTTCATATTCCTGGCTGTTGAAATTGGTAAGTGGTAATGGTCTCTGAGGAAATTCAAGATGAAAACTGTCTTCTGTCCATAACTCAAAGTTTGGAATAACCTCAAATTCGACATTTCTGAAACTTCTCACCGATCTTTTCAATTGCCATTCTGGTTTCTGATTTATTTGGAATTGTTCTTCACTTTTGATTCCTAGTGTTACATGGGAAGCCTTCGAAAATACCAATATCATAGACGCTTTCAAGATACGAGCCGTTAACTGAAAACAGTATATTTGGTTGATGTCAGGATAATACAACTTCATTTTTCGGTTTTTATCATACAGAAGTCAAAGAAGTGATTAGGTACTGTTTGGCGTACCAGCTACAGTTTTTCCGACCATAAAAAATATTCAATTTCACATAACATCCCTGAAGTGAAGATGACTGAAAATCATCGTTTGAGTATGAGAGAGATTGCCCCGAAATTTCTACGTATAACGAATCAGTTCGTATCATTTTAAACAATTTTTAGGCATGAAACGCATTGTCGCTTGACTGGTGACAAATAACCTGCATTTTCTACAAAACCTTTGTGACCTTTGTCGCTACAGACATGTTAGAACGAGTTAATTTTGACCCCACACTCATGAAACCCATTGTAACTATAGTGATGAGACATGAGTTTACGAATTAGATACGCAAACCACTCAACAAGCTTTGGAATGGCACCTTCCAACTGAGCCAAAACCGAAAAAAGCTCGTCAAAAGTAGATAAAAAATTAATGTTATTATAACAGTTTTTTCAATTACCTCGTTGTTGTGCTTTCAGCATTCTTACCAGAAAATGCGAAGACAGTGAATACGAAATATTATCTGAGCGTTGTGTTGTATTTGGGACAGAAAATTCTTCGAAAAAGAACAGATATTTGGAAAGAAAACTAACGAAGTTTCAGTCGATAGACATAAAACAGTTGTTAGTATTGAAGTTGATTCCATGGCGGTGATTTGATGGCGATACGATAAATTTGGATGAATAATAGATATTTTGCGTTTCTTTGACCAATTCCCGGTACTTTTTCGACAGTACCTAGTATTTTAGGAGATTCTAAATTATAAATGAATAGCTGAGTGAAACTGTACTTCACGAATTATGTTTGATACAAGACAATATCTAATTCGAAATAAAATTGGAACTAGTATTGATATTTTCACAAAATTCGCAAGAATATGTATGGTGATGATGATTTTCAATATTTTTTTCCGTGCAAAAACAAAAATATTGTTTTGGCAATTTGAAGTGGAGAATGAAATAAGTGACGATGGTTCCTATACAGGCCGTTTCTTTTATCATGTGGAAACATTGCTATATTCTAAATCGTAACAGATACGAAGGCGACTAAATGGGAAAAAAAGTAACTGTCATCGGGGACAATACAATGGTCCAAGAAAATTTTTTTTCATTGAGGTGATGAACTTTGCGTATTCTGTAGCACTTATATTTGTTCTTTTCCAAAATATTTCTGGTGGAATGGTAAATTAATTGAGATCATGCCAAATTATACAACAATCGAATTTTGACCAAAAACTGATATTTTCGTTACTTCCAGGATTGAGAATTATAAAAATATTACGAATTATAACTGATTAGAAAGAAATAAGCTTTGAAAAAGTACCAATTTTCATTGTATTAGGTAACCTACCTGTTGAATTTATTGGGTTGTCTGAATTATATTTTGAAGAAATCAGAACAATTCACGAAAGAAGTAACGACAAGACCGTAATTTAAAATTGTTGTCACTGATGATGGTAGTTATTTCAAATGATACGCTATGAAAATATCAAATGTGATATACCCTTGGATTGTGAATTTATTGCTTTATCAATATCTGTAATAAAAAAGACAAGTCCGTATTTAAAAAATAAGTTGATGGTGGCCATGTTGTCATAGTAAACTTCGAATACAATAACATTTTTCCTTTCCATTTTTTGATATTTTCTGAAATAACAATTCCATTCGAAAAAAAAAAACGAAAAACAGCATTATTGGTTTTCCCTGTATAACTCGAGAAGGGCGAGAGTACCTGTAAATGTTCTTCGACCATTAACTTGTTCCCCATGACAGTTATCTTTTTACCCATTTTATCGTCTTCATATCTGTTACGGTTTAGAATATAGCAATGTTACCAAAAAGAAACGGTCTGTGTACCATGTAGTGTACGATATAGTCATCAGAGATGAAAAATTTTGATGCTGGTCTAAACAGTGGTTTGAAAAAATATCTGTTATGGAACTGAAATTGTGTTACATAAAATATGTCATTCCTGTTTTTAATAGCAACTTTCAAGATAATATCTATCATCTCAGGGCTACACAAAGTAAGTGCGTTTCATCATAAACATAATACTTAATGTTTGTTTCTAGGGAGAGATGAATTTAATGAACTGTTATTGAGATCAAATCCAAGATAGCCTAACGAAGTTTCCAGACACAGGCCGATGACTTCGAGAAGGCAAGTTGTTCTGCAAATATTCAATTAAAATTGATTGGATGTACTCATTTCCCTACCTAATGAGTTAATTTTTTCTGATATATTAAACTGTAGAAAACAAATTACATTTTTGTGACAGTCTCTAATGAGTAGTTTTCTTGAAATTTAGGTTATTGAAAGAAATTGCAGTTTTCAATTAGAATCTGTCAATTTTATTCATTTCAGATTTGCAAATGAATGATATTTCACTGTTTTCATGTATTGAAAAATAGAACATTGCAAAAGTTCATGTTATGATAATTAGTTTTTGAAGGCAAAAATCATATTTTTTTTATAATCCACACCACTGAGATGTCTCTTTTCACATTATTTTCAAAAAATATAACATTTTAATTTATCTATTGAAAACACTTTCCCAACACGATAACAAAAAACAATCATTATATCATTGGGATAAAAATCTTGTAAGAAATGAATTTACAGTATACTTAATCACAAAATTTAATCAATGTATTTGAAAATGGTTAAAAAAATGAATGGTGTGATTCATTCAATTAATTGAGATGTGATCAGTTCGATGAACAAAAAAACAACTCCATCACATTCATTTTCAAAATAAAGAAAAGATAATTGCAACTTATACATAAAAGTGGTGAAAAACACTTTTATTTGTAATTAACGTTACTGCAGTTTCGTCCTATATGGACATTTTCAAACTTATACACTTAATGTATGAGTTACAAATAAAAGTAATAAAAAACATAGAAAGTTTCAATTCTCTTTTCTTCATTTTATGATCTTCTACCACGTAGTAACGGCTACATCCATCAGTTTATTGAATTTCAAAATCCATGGAAATGACCGTTTACAAATTTGAACAAAGGTACTTTCCAAAATGTGATCCAAATGGAGTAAATATAAATCCTACAAATATTCTTGGAGTAACAGAAAAAAAATTATCATGAAAAGTGGTGCTTATAGGTTAGATGAATACATATTAATATTTCTGACCAAATTTAGTAACCTGCCTTCTATATTTGATTTATTTTAGTTTGTGTCTCAGTTGTAATGAAAAATCGAAAACGAGTATCCTTCCTCGATTAATAATTCTAAATTTAGCAACCGTATTAGGTTCAGTAAAATTCTTATTTCGAATTGAATAGTCTATTTCGGAAAATAGTTGTTAAGTGAAACAATTTCCATTATTTTTTCTCTTATATAATATAGTACCTATATCATTTTCGTATATAATAAATTTATAATTCAAATACACTCCTTATTACATCTCAATTCAAGCTGATGATGCAATCTGTAAATGCAACGCACTCTTTTTATGCTCCATAAAGCCTTGCGAAATGGGATGATTAGAACACGAATGATGCCATGCAATGAATGCATCGATACACATTCTCTTTATTGGGTCTTGACCTATACGAATGTTACTGCATGGATATTAATCACAAAAATTGTAGTTCATGACTGTTAGGTTAGGTTAGGTCTGAAGTGGATCTATTCTACCCTCTACCGCAACCCGCAAGGGTTTATTGTAGCTCACACCTATTTACACTCGGCCAAATAAACCCAGCTTCTTAACGAAGCCGATTAGTTTGCATGGTTAGTGGTCTTTCAGGTCAGATGGTAAGAGTACGGCATATGATGACTCAAATGGCAGTGACCTGAAAGAAGGTCTGTTAGACATCGTAGTTCATCCCTACTGTAGTCCAACAACTGTTTGGTATCAAGCTTCTAAGTGTGAATAAACGCCTTGGAGTAAGCCAATCCTGAAATATTCTGCCAGAAGTCCATGAATCTTCTTGCCATCCAGGTGTTCAATGGTTGCTTGGCAAAGCCTATAGCGATGCCAAATACAGGTTCTGGTCCGATTAAGCTGCTTGCATCACCCTCCTTTGCAAGGGAGTCAGCAGCTTCATTTCCTTCCAGGCCAGTATGGCCAGGACCAGAGACACACCAGAGACAATCTGTTAAGTTTTCCTATCGAGGAGAGTCGTTTTTGTCAATTTGCTACCAATTTAGACGTCGCTCGGTAGGAGCCAAGAGCTACCAACGCCATTTGACTGTCCGAGAATATTTTTATTGATTTGTGTGTGAGGTTAGATTTATCCAATGGTGCATTACTATTGATCAATAATGATTATTATCAATTAATTTAATCAGCAAGATATAAGTTTCTATAACAGAACGCAATAATTGAAAACCCAAATTTGAATATGTTTCAAACCTCATTATCATCAGGGGAATATGCTGATGATGTCTGCCGCAGTAGCAGACGAACCTTTTGATGCCACGGCCTAACAGCCCGGATTTTGTTTTCTTTAATCGTGACTAGGACCGTGAAAGCCTACGTATATTCTTATAACGTTAGTGTCTGGTACTTACGTTAAATTTTTGAAACAACTTTTGTACTCTTGCTCACCCTGTACCAATTTGACACTACTTATGATACATTTTTGAAACAAGACGAAAACTCATAGGCATAACACTATAAAAATCAAATCACAGGTCCTTGTTTCTGATTTGTTGGCCCTCATCAACGCAGAAATGGAGAACACCTGGTTGCAGAATACAATTGTTATCTCTAGTAATATAACCACTAACGAGTGGAGGCAATCTCAGCCTTTTTCTGAGAGTAAGGAAGTGGGTGTTGTATATCTACTATGACCGAAAATATCTTCCTCCAAAAGTCTCTACTTAAATTTGTACAATAAACTTAGTGAAGGCCTGACGAAGCTCAGCATGTATCTTTTGAAGAAACAAAAAAAATTTGCCTGAACATTGCTTCCATTAAGTAGAAGAATATATAACGCATTACATTAGTTCTGATATGATATAAATTGATTTGAAATCTCTGAAAGAATCTGTAAAAAAATAAATCATACATTCATTGATACTTTCCTTTAATTTATTTCTTTCAAACCTCCTTGATACTGAAGCAATGTAGTTGGAGATACATCACTGCCAATGAACTAATTGAACTATAATTATTACAATGGAAAGTAATCAGTTCCTGTTAATATGTTGAATCATCATTCTTTGTTATTATTGTCCATGGGTATACTTGTACGTTACTTTCGCTTAATCTTGAACAAAGACTTGTTTGTCAAGATTGGTGGTAACTAAATATGAGAAAATTAAGTGAGAACAAAAAAATAACTTGTGACTGAAATGAAGTGATAATAAAAAAGATAAATACCTCTCTCTTCGGATCTCTAAATTACTATCTCAACCTGTTTAAAAGAAAATGTAAAACTTTTTTACTGTCTGTTGACTCCCTGAGATATTTTCACTAAATTTTTCATAAATTCCTGCTTGTTCAAATTCTCAGCCAGAGACCTAACATCCACCAAAGCCTAAAAATTCAATCTTTCAACTTGCCATCTCCAAGTTATTCGGGTCTCCCGACATATCAAGATAATAGAGCT